GCCTGTTTCTACTGCTGCCAGGTGCCAGTTACTCTAGCATTCGTCAACATTGCATAATCAATGGGCCTAGTATGCCTTTAAGTATTCACTACTAGATGTGAGTAAGAAAAAGATGTTTAAATCTTTTTAAAATTCTGTAACCATGTGATTCTGGCGGGATCAGTAGAGTTAAAGAGTCGAGAGCGTTTAATTCGATCAGTAGTCACCAGATGGCAAAGCCACTTTGATATAATAATATATATTTAACAATGGGTTTAATGGTGTTCGGAAATAATTTCATATTATTACGTAAAATGCCCCCAAAGTCGCCGCAAGATCCGATGAGATAGTAGCGCGACATCTCAATGCTGTGTGTGTGTTTTCTGTGTTTTTTTTCTATTCTATATGCTTACTTATGTCGATCTGTCACTCTTGACAATTACTCAACGGTTTCCGGCGGGCGCAAGAAAAAGAAAAATTAACAAATAAGAATTACATGACCAAAAATAAATGAAGTAAGGTAAAAAGATGAAAGCATATGTGTGTTTCAGGTGTTCGAGGCGGTGATAGCGTGGATCCGCTACGGTGCCGAGCATCGGCAGCAGCACACGGCGCAGCTGATGGAGTACGTGCGTCTGCCACTCCTGCCGCAGGTAACGCCATCTAGCGGTCATCGGCTTCGTCCGGACATCTTCAGCCCGAGCTTCCTCCGCTGTTTGTCCTGCTGAAGATGTGTTGCAGAGAGTCGATGTTTTCACGTGAAATGCGCATATAACTTGATCTAGCTTGACCAGCCTAGCAGCAACATCCACTGTGGTGCGTGCAGGTGTGCGCGAGGCGAGGTCACAGATTTTTGGATCAGATGGGATCGGTCTGTCATTTTCATATGAAAAAACTCAGGAAAGTTACATCTTCCCCCCGTTGCCGCAGTTTTTTCCTCTTTTGTCTTTTTCTTCTATCCCCCAGGACTACCTGATCCAGGCTTTCCCCCCTCTCTTGCAGGACAACTTCATCCATGTTATCCCATCTTTATCCTGCAGGATTACCTCATCCAGACTGTGGAGGATGAGCCGCTCATCCGCACGAATCCCGTCTGCAAGGACTTCCTTATCGAGGCGATGAAGTTTCACCTGTTGAAGGGCGAGCAGAAGGTCATGTTCCAGACACCGCGCACCAAGCCGCGCACGCCTGTCGGCCTGCCCAAGGTAGGTCACTGCTGCTGCTGGGGGTGGGGGAAGGTGTGGCAGGAAGGGTTGGGTGGGGCCAGGCAGTGCAGGGTGGGGCGGGGCGAGGGGACCGGGTGTGATGAGGTACGCACGAGTGGCGGGGGTAAGGCTACGTAGGTGGTGGGGTCTTTCTTTATCAGCATATATCTCCAGAGAGGTATTTGCTATGATGCTGCTCCTGCTTGCAGTGCGGTGCCGTGTAATTTCACGTTAAAATGATTACGTCACCGTAAATAGTAAAAATAAAAAAAAAATTCCCACTTTTTCACAAAATATAAGTAATTCTGTTCACTTTTTATGGTTAAATTGCTGCATTATACTTCCTATTTTACTATATTGTTCGATGTAAACATACACTAGTGACTCATATATAGCCCATAGCAAGCAATTAATGTCAGGAACATAATATCAAATCGTCCAGGTTTTTTGGATTTTTAACTAGTTGAGAAACAATCTTATCAGGTAAGAATTTGACGATACGTTTAGTCCCGTTAGTACTTACTTTTAATGTAAAAAAATGGCAACAACATTTTTACAAATTTTACCATAAAAAATTCGTGACTTAGTCAATTTAAACCCTAAGGACACAGGTTTTTGCCACGTATTAACGATTCTAAACTTTAGAATCTAAAGCATCTCTGCAGATGTGCTGCCCCCTCCCCCAGGTGTAAAGCCGTGAAGCCATGTTCCTGATTCACTTCTCTGCTTTCAGGTGATGCTGGTGATAGGCGGGCAGGCACCAAAGGCCATCAAGTCTGTCGAGTGTTACGACTTCAAGGAGGACAAGTGGTACCCAGTGTCGGACATGCTGTGCCGAAGATGCAGGGCTGGTGAGTGCGTGCAACGCCCTCTGTAGAGGCGAATGGAAAACAAAACAAAACTGTCTCCTAAACCACGTGTCTGATGGTGACGTGATTTTGGGGATTTGTCTGAACGTACCTGTACGCACCTGCCACGAACATATCTGAAATCACCTGTGTACCTGTCCTGCTGTGATGATTAATTGATTGATCCACCCCTCCCTCAGATGTATGCAATGCTGAATGGAAAGGTGTATGCTGTGCTGATTACTTGATTGACTCGTCCCTCCCTCAGGTGTAGTGTAGCCCTGGTATTCTGTAGTTACTTTATCTCCTCGGTCGGTGATCGTAGCCATTCATGATCGAAGAGGTTGTGTAGCTTATATATGATATAGATGTCTTTATTTGAATGCATATATGTTGCATCGTACATCAGCGGCCCCGTTCGCCCAATTGCAATGCCACCACCCTTATATACGGCCGCACTGTTGTTCGACCTCACGGAATAACAATTCTCGTCGCCACAGTAGGCCATGATTGGCTTCACCTGTAACCTGTCCTGATGTGCTGATTACTTGATTGACTCCTCCCCGCAGGTGTGGCTGTGATGAACGGACAGGTGTACACCGTGAATGGCATCACCTGTGTGTACCTGTCTTGCTGTGCTGATTAATTAATTGACTCCGCCCCTCAGGTGTCGCAGTGCTGAACGGACAGGTGTACGCCGTCGGCGGCTTCAACGGGAACCTGCGCGTGCGAACGGTCGACGCGTTCGCTCCCGGCAAGGACCAGTGGACGTCCATGCAGGCGATGGA